CTCTATGAAAACTGACACTGCTCCACATATGTCGTAAAATTATCTGATACTAAATGTAATTAGAAAACGGGTTATCCGTTCTAGACTTCATTCATGCTTACTGTGAAACATGAAATATACACACAGTTACGTCACACGCACTTCACTGCCGTAATGTCTTCCACTGTACCAGGAATCAAACTGCTTTTTGCGTACATCACTAGATTGTGGATAGAAGGAAAGCACATACTCTCTCTGTGGAATCTGAAGTACATTAACGACACAGGAAATGATGCAACAAGCTACAAAAATATTTGTGTTGGAGAAATGTTTATAGTTTGGACAGTATATGCTTCCTGCTACCCCTCTGAACCCCTTACAATGTACTTATCGCCCAGAAAACAGGGATTCGTCCCGACAACAGTAACCACCTCCAGCACGGTAGTAACCGTAAATAAAACAAAAAAGTAATTAAGAATTTAACAATGCACGGTATGAATTAGTTTTCTCAACTAAATTTATTATATTAAAAAAGTATAAGCCTTTCATTGTGATGCAGGGTAGATATCTGAATTTTTCGGTGTATGTGCAAAGCAGTCTACCATTCTGTAATGAATGTCACCGAAGAATGAAAAACATACATAAAAGCTGGGAAGCTGCATAATACAGCATATTATACAAAAGATGACTGCCATCTTGTTGAACAGACTAGGTGGCTGTACTAGTCTGTTAACTGAATAATAAATCTAAGTTCAAATGCAGCTGGATAAGTTTTTTTATGAGGGTGACTTCTTCATACCAGTCACTAATTATTTTGTCATATGAGGTTACTGCTTCCACCTCCATTAAATTATCTTACTTGCACCTGTCAGATCAAATTCTCAGAATATACCTCAGGAGACAGTCTGCACATACTCTGGCAAAAAGACATTCAAATACAAAATTCATGGGATTATAAAATTATAGTAGTCTCAGTCCTGGTCTAGAAATAAAATGTAGAAAAAACAAAGTATATGAACATGTCTCACTATCAGAATTCAAGACAAAACCAGAATATAAGCATAACTAATGAATTGTTCAAAAATGTGACAAAATTCAAGTATTTGTGGATGACACTAGGAAGTCAAAATGACAATCTTGACATAAATCAAGAGCAGATTAAATTCAGGGAATATTTGCTATCATTCAGTCCAAAATCATTTGTCTTCCCATCTCATAAAAACTAAAGATAAATAAAGAAGTGTAATTTTGCCAATTGTGTTGTATGGGTGCAAAACTTGGTCTCTCACTTTGAGGGAGGAACATAGATTGGGGGTCCCTGATAACAGTGTTGAGCAAGACATATCATGGAGAAAACTGCATAATGATGGGCATCACAGCCTGTACTGCTTACCTGATATTGTTTGGGCAATTACATTGAGGAGGGCAAGATATGCAGCACACGTGGGGGAGGAGGGGGGTATTTACAAGGTATTGGTTGGAAGGCCTGAAAGGAGGAGAATGCTGGGAAGACCTAGGTGTAGGTTGGGAGGATAATGTTAATATGGGCTTTAGGGAGATAGGTATCCTTGGAGGAAACTGGATGCAACTTGCTTCGGATAGTATGGTATACACGGTGATGAACCTTCAGGTTCATTAAGTGGGCAATTCTTTGACAAGCTGACTATACAGTCAACTTTTTAAATAATTTCCTGCACCATAGAGTGAGCAGTCTCAGTCCTGTTCATCACAGACAAAATAGAAATAAACCTTTCACATGTTAATATTTTAGAAATAATACCCACGCAATGTTGAAGTTCATAGGCACAGACAGTGCAACCACGGCTCACCGTAGACCAACAACAGAAACCTCAACTTAGGCCAGTGGACATAAAGTTAAGTAACTCAACTTAGATAATACATCAACTCTTGTGCAACTAACGTCCAGTGTGGTATTACTTAAAGTATAGTTTTATAAAGTGTTACCTTTTATGCTTCATAAGAAACCATCGTCTTATGAATTGTATGATTTAATATGAATTAATTTGTTTGCCACTGATGATGACCTCTTGAGGTCGAAACGCATCTGGCACTAAGTGTCTTTTCAAGCGTAAACAGTTTTTGTTTGTATGAATGATTTTATATATCAATACACGGCATCGTATGCAAGGTTTAAGGAGTTCAGAAATAGAACTGAGATTGAGATAATTAGTTTAAAGGCAGAGCATGCAGATTGACAAGAAAAGTTTCAAATGTAAAATCTGTGGTAAAGGATTCCCAAAACATTTCTGTCTTGCTGTGTATCTGTGCATCTATTGATACAATTTTCACTTTATTATGGCATCATACTAAGGAAAAATTTATAAGAAGCTGTTCTCGGCAAAGAGTGAACTGGTCCAGTATCAGTATACATACAAGTATACAAGTAGTTGGTGTGAGATCTATGGATCACTTTGTGATCTAATTTGTTTGGAGTAGATCAACACTGTGACTGCAGATAGAAAAAAAAATTGTCAGGAGAAGAAGCAACATAAATATTTACTCAGCATAAAAAGATTACCATACATACATTTCATTGATACACAGTAATTTTTTTTTTTTTTTTTAGTGTTCTGTCTGACGACAGGTCCATATGAACAGGATCCTTCCATCCTTTTATCGGACTGGGACCTGTTCATATACGTTCATGGCAGATGATCCAGAAGTGGTTTGCCATTGCCTTCTTCTGTGTGTGGATGGAGTAATTGTTGGGATTCCACGGAGGAAAACTCCGTGTTGCCTAGACCACGGCCTTGCCCAACACAAGTTATAAATTCGGGCACCGCCGGGAATCGAACCCGAGACCCCAGGATTACAAGGCCAGCGTTCTAACCGCTAGACCATTAAAATTAACATTTGTGTCAACAGTAATAAAGATATGATGAACTGAAGAGGATAATGCAAATCAAAAACATGGCACACATTTTCAGATGCTGTCATGATCAAACTGAAACAGGAAACAACTGGAGGAGCGATCCAGTTCATCAGACTGGATTTGATTCAAGTAGCATTAGAGGGTCTCAAGGCAGTGAGTGTGAAGACGGCTGTCTTCTGGGTTGCAGCGCCATGTAGTCTGATAGAAGTTTATCAACATTTCAGAGGTCCTTTCTGCCTCCATCATCAGGATGATGAGTCATCACATGAGGCAGCAAGGACCTCTGAAACGTCGGTGAACTTCTACCAGACTACAATCCAGAAGGCAGCCATCTGGAGCAGGGACTGGCCAGATTACCAATATTAATTTCATCCAGATCAACATTTTACCAGAAAAACCTGGATCTTGAACTGATTCATTGGAAAATGACAAACCTGTAGAAAGTATCCATATGAATTGTTGAGGAAAAAACTGACCTTTTTGGAGGTTTCACAGCTACACACATCAGAATGAAATCGCGTTAAGAGCTGTCAGGATGCAGAGATATCTAAAAGCACACGTACATGGAATTATTTGTTCAAAATTCAAAACATGTTGAGTGTTAAAAACTGGAAACTTTCAAATGACATATACGTTAAACAATGCAGTAACATATGAAACATTGTACCTCCGTCACTACACACAACACATCATTCCTTGTTAGGAGTGACATTCAAATAATGTGGGTAGTTACAGCAACACCTTTCCACATTTTACAACTTCTTTGTTTTTATCGGAGTCCTGACAGCATGGATCATTTAATTTATTTATTTCTGTGCCAAAATGTTAAACATGTGTGTCCTGTTTTGAAGGCACATTTAAATTCTAATGGTTCAGCAATGAGCACAGTAAAATGAAGTTACAATGGACTGGACATATAACTCAGATAAGGGAATATAATTTCTATGGAGTAATCTATTAGAAGACATTTACATGGTAAATCTACAGAAGGCAGTAAAACACCAAATATTCAAAGACAACTTCTACGAATATGTTGTGAGGATCTGAATGAGACCAAGAGTATAGACGGAATAGACGGATGAACTGATAGATAAAATTACGGATGGGTGGGTGGGTGGGTTGGTAAATGGATGGATTTGTGAATAAAACTTAATACTCCAGAGACATGTTCTATACATAAATAAGCAATTGTTCATGTGGGAACATATGAATGTTCCCACATTATATACGAGTTATACATTTAACACATTTTAACAAGCCCAATAATAAGGTAAAACACCTAACAGATTATAGGTCGCGCGAGTAGTCGTGGCACCTGAATGAGCGATGTGTAAGCCGAGAGAGGGGAGTTCAGTAGTAGATCTACCTTTTGCTATCACTAATCTGCTGACCACATTCCTTATGTTTCCTGGTAAGAGGGAGGGAGTTATTTCTGGAATCTGCACTTCCTGTCAATTTGTTTGACAGCAAGTGCCTCTGACAGTATAATTTACTTCACAGTGGCTTCTGGGAGGTTAAAACAGTGTCCTCTGAGTACGAGCTAAGTGGACTCGGCATAGAATCCTCTCAACAGATGCTCTGTGCTTGAGTAGCATAAAAATCTGTGACTAGCCAATGAATCCTATAAGAGAACTGGCAGGCAAAGCATTGCTCATGAAAATGACAAAAATGTGAGAATGGCATGTGTTCACATGCCATGAAAATCTACTTACTCTGCAAAACAATGTGGACAGAATTAAGAATATTACTGCCCATTAAACTGCTCAGATAATAGTAATTGCAGAGAAATTAATTGCATTTAATTATATTTACAATTATGCATCTTTCTGTCAATATGAAAAAGACAGCATATTTTTCATGAATTGGTACTTCTTCCATATGAATGATAAAGTTATTAAACACTATGGAAGGTTCCGGGAGTCTGACAAACCACACATGATTTTGAGAAGTATGTTCATGACTTACCCTATAGAGTGAGCATACCAAACAGAAATAACTTCATGGTTCTTTGTTCTTGTTTTTTTCAAATACAGTGAAATCTCGATGTATCGTTTATGAAGGAGGTGGGAAATGAAAAACGACAGGATTAAAAATAAATTA